AGCTTATCAGGAGAGGTTCCAGGTGAGCGCCTGCCAGGTCCTGAATGTTTTAGAATAAAGGGACCTTTTCATCCAATCCCTTCATCTCACAAATGAGGAAACTGAGCCCTATGAAAGCTAAGTACCTTGAACACAGGCTCAAGAATGCAAGTGAGCTCAGGCCTTCTGAGTGGGAGCCCCTGAAAAGAGCAAAAAGAAATGTGGCCTAATTGAAATCAGGGTCATCACTCCTAGAACTTGATTTTCATGTATGTATGTAGTTTTTTGCGCAACACTTTCCGCCAAGGTTCACAAGTAAACGTGTGCATATAAAATGCGAAAACATGCTCACCCATCCATTCACACACATTTTCACCAGTATTCACCAAATGGCAAGAGAATCTACACTGAATTTGTTCTGATTCAAAGTTTTGTCCAAGATTAGTAGTGATGCGTCTTAGAATAAATGGAAAAAGTATGTAGTGAGCGGAAAGAACACATTTATAACCAAAAATGTCTTAAACTCTGAATAATTATCTCCCTCCATACTATTATGGCTGGTGAAGTGTTTTAAGGATATTTAGTTCAGAAATTTTTACAATATTGCAGCAAAATGGAGTAGCAAAGCTTGTTGTTGAGGATGTGAGGATTTTTTCAATTTTTATTTTTTTGTTGGTCTGTATTTGCAGCACATAATTACATTCTGCTGGGGAGTTGGTACATGAACATAGCACTTCCTAACTGGTTTTTTATTCTTTTCCCCTCCCCTTCCTTCTTCCCTGCATCTTTTGGTCCCCTTCTCTTAAACAAAACATCAGTCTCCCCATTTCCCATTATCTATCTTTTGCATCTTTTGGATCTTTTGCTCTTTGGGATATAAGATTGTTTACTGTAAAACAGAGATGTCAGGCCTGCCCTGGACAGCTAATGATGCCGCCCTACAAGACTGGAAGCTTTTAACACCACTGTGTGATTTTTTAGTGATGTTTTTCACAGCAAGACTGCTGAAGGATCAAGTGCAATCCGTGTAGGCGACAATGGCACACTTGTAGGGGAGAGCACAGTGGAGAATTTCACCTCCTCTGCCCACAGTCTGTCAAACCCAAACCCAAGGGCATCACATGTTACACGTGCTTGTATGACTTGGCCAGGAAAATGTAGCAATTTTGACCTCTCCACACACCTGTGTGCCTGAGAAGGCAGGCATGTATTGTTACTATGCAAACGTGTAACTTTCTTATTTGATGATTAAGCTTGGGCTGGTTATGTTATTTTGTAAAACGATTTGATAAATTAAAAAACATTTTTAGCTGGTGTGATATAGGAGACACAAAAGTGTGTCAAATAGTTTTTGCTCTTGATACCATTATAATTACCTATGTATTACTTCTAAAAACAAACGTTTGCTTACATATTAAATTTATGTAGTGTAACTATATTATATATTTTATTTGCAGCTCAAAACAATTCTTCTTCACTCAGTGTGGCCCAGGCAAGCCACCAGGTTGGATTCCCACGTGGTAGTGGACTGAGTAGTGACCCTCTCAAAGTGGTGGCCACCCCAGTCTCCTATTTATTATGTATCACAACATGTCCTGATAAAAAAAAAAAGGAAAACAAAGCCAAATTAGTGTGACCTCATTTGGGGTGAGTATCTTAGACTTGATGAAGGTAAGGTCTGAGATTGCATGGATGAAGACGGGCTCTAAATCCAACTTGTCCTTACAGGAGACAGAAAGAAGACACAAGGACAGGCGGAAGGCGACAATGCAGACAGAGGCAGGCTCGGACTGGTGCCCACGGCCAGGGTGTGACCGAGTTTGTGCTAACCACTGAGCTGGAGGGAGCCTCTGGAAGGAGCCAGATCCGCGGACACTTTAGCTGTGGACTTCTGAATTTTGAACTATGAGAGGGTAGATTTCTGTTGCTTGAAGACAGTTTGTGATAGTTTGTGACATCACCCTTAGGAAACTAAACTATTGGTAATTATAATGTGATTTATTCCTACTTGCATCTGACTAGAGAAAAACAGGATACATCATTTGTACTTTGAGATAAATTCCATCCAAAAGCAGAAAACCTACTTTACTTTTTCAGTGCTAAGGATCAAACCCAGGGCCTCCCACATGCTAGGCAAGTGCTCTGCCACTGAGCTGTGCCTCCAGCCCCAGTAGCAGGTGAATAAAGAGTTGATATTGTACCTGTGGTGGTGTGGTGGCCTAGTGTTTGAGGTGGCCTATGAGGCCACATAGGGAGGGCTGGGGCCTCCTGCCAACAGCAAGCACTAACCTGCTGTGCATTTCTTTGAGCATCGATGGATGGTCCTCCAGGCTCAGTCAATCCTAAAAATGCGTGTAGTCTCCACTGTCACCTGCACCACCCAGCTCCCAGACCCTGAGCCAGCACCGTCCAGCTGCGCTGCGGCCAAATTCCTGCCTCTCTGAAAAGATGAGCGCTCGTTCTTTTTAAGCTGCTAGGATCTGGGGAAATTCGTTAGGAAGCAACTGGTAGCTACTACTACAGTGAGAAGTAGAAATGAACCAATAAAGAATAAATAATAAAATAATATAAAAAATAGTTCTTGTACATTGATGGAAAAGGTATGAAAACCCTAATATTAGATACGAAAAACTTAAGACCATTCACAAAATAATGAATGCACAGGTCCACAGGAGTCACAAGAAATATGTGGAAGACTGCTAATTAATAGAAAGAATTTTTAAAAAGAAGTAGAAAATTGTGAATGAGCTCTTGATTCCATCCCCTAAAGCAGATTTCCCCTAAGACATCCTATTAGGCTTAGGTGAAAACTTCAAGTTATTAATTCCTCTTCTTCACTCTCACAATAAATTTAACAAGTACCATTGGTTTGTTTTCCGAAGGCCGTCCTGAATCCTGCCTCATCTCACTTGTTCGGCTGCTCCGCCCCAGTGTAATCCCCTAGTATCTCCCCCAACTACAGTAGCTTCCCAACTGCCGCAGTTCTCCCAGTGTGACCCCTTTAAAGCTGTTTTGTTGATTGTTTGTTGGTAAACATAAATCACATTTGGAACATACGGCAACAGGAGAAAACCCAAGATGAAGACCTTCATGCTGACTGCTGACTTCAACAAGAAGTTACCGGAACCCTTGACATATTCTGTGCCCCGCCCTGAATGGCCCTTCTCCAAGAGGATACTGATTACTCTCCTGAATTGTGTGCTTTCAGTCCCTTGTTTGTCTCTAAAATGTTTACCAATCTGCTGTTCAGTTTTGCTTGTTTTTGTACTTTCGATAAAACAAGCAAAACATACTTTTTAAAATGTAATATTACATTCCCAAAGTTCACCTCTGTTAATGTATCCAATTCATTTCTTTTCAAAGCTACATAGACTTCCTTTCTACAACTATGTATTGACTTCTTTATCCACTCTCCTTCCTTTAAAAGCATAATTATTATCAGATTGCTTCCAAAATTAATTTCTTTTATGGTTTCCCACTTCACTTGGAATAAATTCCAGGCTCCTTTCCTTGGTATATAATTCCTTGTTCTTTCTTTTCTTAAATTTATTTTTATTCATTTCTGACTCATTCACTGAGATAGTAGCTCTGTGAAGATGCGTCCTCTGTCTGTTTGGTTCATGCTATTTCCTCATGAAAGCAGTGTCTGGCATAGAGCAGGTGCTCCATAAATATTTGTTAAGTGAATGAACAAGCAATGGTTTGATCAAAGGAGAAAAACATAAAGAACCAAACACACTGGGCCCTGCACTTCTTCTTAGATTGGTGGTTCGAGGCTGGGGGGAGGACTTTGGCCCCGACAAACACTGGGCATATGTGGAGACATCCTGGTTGTCACAAATGTGTGTAGGGTGCTCCTGGCTTCTAGTGAGTGATGTTGGGGGGCATCTTAAAATAAATGGGGAGACTCCAACAGAGCAGAATAATCTGGTCCAGCATGTTAATAGTGATGATAAACCCTGCCTTAGGTTATAAAAAAATGGCTTCAAAACACCCTTCAAAAATAACTTTAGGGCTGGGGATTTGGTTCAGTGGAACCGTGCCTGCCTTGCAAGTGCAAGGTCCTGAGTTCGATCCCTGGTACCAATAAATAAATAAATAAATAACTTTAACTTTCCTTATGTTCATTTTAGAAACAAACTTCAGATATGAGAGACTATAGAAGTATTTTACATAATAGAAACCATGGATATCTACAGAAACAAAATACAATATTTATAGGTAGACCCAAAAGGATTTTACCGTTTGACTTTCCATGGCACAAGGAACCAAAGAAGTTGTCTTGTAATTAAACTACAAACAAGAATACATATACTTGGTAGGAGTTGTGATTTAGTTAAAGAAAAAAAAATCTTCCCAAACATTAAGGTGTTAACATTGTAGTATCAGTTCACTGAATTACAAGTTCTTAGCGTAAAAGACATTTTAAACTTTTTAAATGCACACACTCAGTGGGCTTATCCAAGGTAGTTTGACAGGCCACTCACAGATGAGGCAAAGCACGGAGGCAGGTATAATCCCCAAAACCAGGCTGGAGCCTGGGCCGTGGGCCCACCTGGCAAGAGGAACCTTCTAGAACAAACTCCCTTTGGCTTTTTTATTTTTAGTTTTCTGGGCACATAGCTTGAATTGTGTCTCCAGACTCACCAACCTCCCATTGCCTGGTGGTTACTGAAGACCTACTCTGTGCCTGGCACTGGGTACACAGCAGGGTGCTAAATCTATTTGTGTGATTCTCAGGTACAGTCTGAGGGCCTGGGGCTTCCTGGTGGTAAAATTGCCTTCATCTGCTGAGAAAGATGACCAAAGGATATTGGCTAAACGGCCCAGAAATTTCTTTTAAGATATTTATGAATTAAATAATTAAAACTTTTACATTTAAGAATGTTATAATTGAAATTAAGCAAACAGAATAATAAAGAAAATAAAAGTTAAACATTAAAAATAACATCTAATAGTACTTTAAGAAAGGCTTCCTGCTGAGCTTTTGAGAAGGGAGTGGGATGAATGATTTTTATTACCTGGAGGAATGTGTGGGCCCACAGTCGTGACCTGACCTTCAGGACGGCGCTTTCACCTCTGTCTAGTCGCCCCACCGCACAGGAGATTTGTAAACACTCGATATTTGTACAATTCTGCAAAATGCAACAGCAGCAGCCCATCAGTATCTCTCAGGGGTGGCAGAGAATCAACAGCGCAGTCAGTTCAACTACGTTTTATTTCCTCAGAAATCACTGTCTTACCTGCAAATGTAATCTAACTCAATTTAAATTTAAAGAGAGAAGAAACACACTGGAATGACCACGCATGAGCACAGTGCGCTGGTCACAGCGATCTGCAGACTCTGGTGGTGACAGATGAAATGGAGTGCAGATACCGCACAGAATGAACTCCCTCACGAGGACGTAAACCATCTTCCTGCAGTGGCCAGAGAGCCCTTCTGTTTTATTTTTCTCAGAACCCAGAAGTTTCTTATGGACAGCCATAAAATCTGACGGTACGCTGGCTAATCTGGAAGGGGACGCAGAAAAGCCCTCCAAGTCCACGTTATCTCAAAGACTCAGAGTCACTGCGTCATTGATAGGCCTTTTTTCCACCACGTTCTCCTCCTGTTGAAACAACCTCTCACTGGGAGCAGGCCCGTCTGTGAGGTCCATTCATTAGGAGTTTTTAAACCAATTCTCAGAGTGCCTCACCTTATCACGAGTCACTTTGAACACATGATCCTGTAAAGTATCCATCGTGATGGCATTCTGTCTGTCAAATCGTGTTTCTTAATTGGAACCCAGTGTGGAAATAAGTGGATAGATACTCCAGGTACCCCACAATCCATTTTCTGTGTGCCATGCAGAGAATGCTACTTCTCTCTATGTACCTCTGAACTGATGTGAATTTGTCTTTGGTTTATCCTTATTTGTTCTTCTCATCTCAAGCACCTGCCAGTGGCCTATAGGTGCTCGGTAAAAATAAAATTATTGAATACTATCTGAAGCTCTTGACGGAGGCATTTCACTTTAATGAAACTGATATATTAAAGAAAAGCCCAAAGAACATAAACCACGGAATCTTTTTTGAGCATTGAAGAACTGTCTGAAAACAAAACAATTAGTAATGTGTATTAGAGAAATATGGTAAGGCTAGATTCCCGCGTGATGATTCCAAATTCAGGTGACCAGGCTGCCTCTGAACTACCAGAGTTGAGTACTGAAGTCCCTAAGGCAGGAACAGGAGATTGCAAAGCTACGTGTCCTCACTGACAGGACGAGTGCCACCCCCACCCCGGAGGCAGCTGGTTACTGACTCCTTGGAGATGGCGATCCCAGTTAACTAGCTCTGTCGGAGGATTCTGGACGAGCTGATGTCTGGAAGGACTTTAGAGTGAGAAAGGGTTACCCAGAAGGATGGGATGACTGACACCTGGTCCTCTCCTACACACCGGGGGCTGCACAGGAAAGGGAAGGCAGGGACGTGGAGGTGAGATGGACAGATGGAAATAAGACGGGAAAAAGAGAATGTCTGCGGGGTGTGGAATCTCTCTGCTGTGCTAAAGTGAGGAGCTTAGATTTTTATCTGTCAGATATTGGGGTGCCTGTGAAGGGTTGCAACGAAGGGCCACAATCAGATGCGTTTTAGAGGGACAGGTGGTATTTGAGGACAGAATAGAGAGGGCAGAGTGGGAGGCAGGAGAATGATTAAGGGCCAGGGCTGGGGCCCAAATAAGAACTGCCGGGGCCCTGATCGGAAGCAGTGGGATAGAGAGAAGACAAATTTTAGGGAAGGTTGGGAAGCATAATAGATTCTTAGAGCCTGCCATGAAGACGGAGGGGTGGAGGAAGCTTTCTTTGGATGGAAACAGGATGGATTGGTACTGGTATTGCTGAGAAAGGGGATTCTAGAGAACAGGCACATCTTGGGCTCATTGGAGACATATTGGGACATTGGACACATTGGACTGGGGTGGTTATCAACATCCAGATGAATCTTGCAAGTCTTGAAGGCTGTAAAGTATGGCTAAAATGACAGGAGGCACCTGGAATGATGGGAATACGGTCACACAAACATTTCCAGGAAAAAGCAAAATGTACAGGAAAGGAGAGGAGGGGGCTGAAGATGGCATCCTGAGGTAGAGGGTATTTAAGGATGGGAGGAGGAGATACCCATGAAAAAATCCAAGATGGTGCTAGCCAAAAGATAAGGGGAGAACCAGGAAAGAATGTTCTGGGGGATGCCAAGGGAAATGAGAGTTTCCGGAAGTGATCCGGAGTATCCAATGCTAAAAAGAAATAAGAAAGATTTCAGAAGGCTGAGTAGAAAAAGGAAGAGAGAAAAGTTTGGAGGAGACAGAGATATAGTGACAAAAGGAGCAGGGGCCAAGATGAGACAGGCAAAGATGTCCTTAGGATGGAAGAGAATTATATTTCAGTGTTAAAGATACACTTTGAAATTCAAATTGGAAATTATGATCCCCACACAGGATGTTGAATTTTATACTTTCAAATTCCCAATCGGAAATGTGATTCACCAAGTTGTTTTTAACCAAACAAAATCTGTAGGAGGTCTTATTTAGCTTTGATTTTAGAATAAACTTTGCATATTTATTCTCTGTCCAGAGTTGTTTTGACTTGACAACATGTGAAGGCATGTGATTTGAACCAATGAGAGAAAAAGGAATAATATATGAACAGAAATCAGATATGGGCCAAGGATTGCCATGCTATTCAGCTGGGGGTAAATAATTCTCGATAATATTCAGAAACTAAAAATTATCAAAGATATTTAATGAGAAACAAGGCAAAACATGTGTGGCAACAACACAAATGCATAAACATTTCAAAATACATTTACTTATTGATATACATTGCCTTAGTGAACTCATGAAATACAGAGTTGGAGATTTAAAAACGTAAAACATGCACAAAAACAAAACACCACGAGTTGGGGTGTAGCCCAGTGGTAGAGCATTTATTTGCCTAGCATGCACAAGGTGCTGGATTTAATCCCCAGCACCAACAAAAACAAACAGAAATCTAACATAATTATCGAATAAATTGTTAGTTCCACATAAATTTTGACCCTGGCTTCCCAGAGTGCTTTCCTCATCTGGACTGGAATATGTGAATTCCATAGATACAAATTACCATCATCTGTTCTATTAGTCCCTGGTGAGTCTTCTGTTCATGACAGAATGCAATTTTATTGATTATCCTAAAAGAGATAGCGTATGTACTACCTTTTCTTACCTAAAAAAAAAATCAGGAGGCCATAAAACTTCACAGGTACTTGAATCATAACCTGCAACCTAGAGCTCTGTGCCATGCAATTTTAGTTATTTGTCATATATAATACATTTCTTGTTTGACCTAAGTTTAAATGATTACTGAACTTTGACTTGTTTATAATTTTCTGTCCACTTCCATATTTGAATTTCTTTACTGTTAAGAAGAGAAAATAAATGAATGCCAGAGAATACTTAAAATATAATTTTAAAAAATCATTTAAACCATTTTAAGAGGACAGTTCAGACAACCATCACCACCACCTACTTCTAGAACTTCCATTTCATCATCCTAGACTACATCTCTGGTTCCTGAAAACCTGTGTATTGATGAGGCCCAGAGCTGGAATTTGTGTCCGCTCTTTTGATGACTCTTTAGTGCTAATTAAAGGTTGCCCATACAGTGGGTCACATGTTCAGGACTATGATCGATTCAGTAGGACAGCAACCTACTTTATTGGGCTGAAATAACTAACTGGGATTATCACTTCTTTACATTTGTTTCTACTTTTAAAAACATGAAATTCATGCAAGGTCAGCGCAGCATTAGAAGTCAGTTTAAGACTTCCCTCATTCCCCACTTACTGCCCCATTGGTCTAGACTCTGTGGAGACGGGAAGGGGATGGGAAAGCAGGGAGAGGGGGACGTGACAGGGCGGTTAACTGATAACGATGCGAAATGTTCTCCGCACCCCCGCAAAGTGAATGGAATGATTACGTACTGCAAACGTGCTAATGAAAAGGGAAGGGCTCCTTCGTAAATACTCCTCACGTGCTTCTCTGTCTCATCTGATGAGTCAGACTGAGGTCCCTGGATGAGCTGATCTGGGCTCAGGATTCAGGGGGAGACAGGACCCGCAGGCAGGGGGCAGTCATCTGGGTTTGGGGAAACCTGAACCCCAAGTATACAGATTACAAACCAGAACAATTTCCTGGCAGTGCTTTTCTGGCCTGAAGCAAAAGATCACAGGGCTACCCACAGCTGTGCAGACCCAGCCTTTATTCTGAGTCTGGCCTCCTTTATTGGAACCTCCCTGCCACTGCTCTCCCCCCACACACACGTGCTCACACACACACACACACACACACACACGCAGACACACACGCATCCCACAGATTTGCCTGCAAGAGGAATGCCTTTTACACCCAGTGCATTCCCTGCTTCAGGAGGAAGTGATTCAGTTCACACACACTGCTACTTTACCTTTTCTCTTCTGCAAACACTTTCTAAACTTCCATCTTTCAATTTTTCAAATTAAGCTTAGCATTACTCTTTTCAATCATACAGATGCTAAAGTCAGGGGTTCGGTTCTTCAGGTGTAGATTTGCACCCTTGACCTGTTTGACTTTGTAAATGGATGGAATAATTATATTCCCCAGAGCGCACACTGGTATGTTGTCATGACAGCCGCTTCATTTGAACTGAGTGCAGCTAGCAAATTTAGCCTTTACCAATACTAACCTTCACATTGCTCACACGAGTTTGCTCAGCATTGGGTTAAAAGAGCCCTGAGGAAGGAGAAGGTGAGGACAGGTAGAATGGTGCACCAAGGGCGTTCTGAAGGAGTCCAACAGCTACTGGGATACATGTTCACCTGCTGTCCTGTTCTCATCTTCACTCAACGAATGGGCCAGGCACTGAGCTGCACCCCTGAGAAATGCTGTCAAGCAGCTGCACATACCCTTATGGACTTTCAATAGAGTGGAAGATGAGAAAGAACAGTACCCAAGGGCCAGAGCACTGTGGTGCCTAGTGAAGCCCCTGGCAATCGCATATTTCTGGCATAAAAACCCGAGGAGGGTTGGCAGCACTGCGGTTGGGTGTTTCATGGCGCCCACCCGGCAAGGACAGCGACCACGGCCCATGCCAAAATAGCTGCAGAACCCTCCTCAGCTCAAGGTAGTCTGTAATCTTTCAATTCTGCCTTTACCCTCCTTTTCTTCTCCCTTTGCCGTGAGGCTTCCCGCCAAGGGTCTCTCTTTTCCGCTAGCCTCTTTGGAGGGAATGCTCTCGGCTTGGGACCTGCGGCTTTTGCCTCAGTATCACCCCGAGATGATACATCTCAGGCTGAGCTTCTGCAGTCAGCTGGGGTGGGCGGAGGGAAACACCCACTCAGCCCCTCCCCATGCGAGGCACTGGGACACAGGGTTCTCAGGCTGTCCCCACCTCAAGCCCCTGCATGTGTGTTTGCTTGGTGTGGACGAGGATGCTGGGGTTTGTGGTGCTCTCTGCTTCTGCCCAGCTAGAGAATGTGCTCAGAGCCTCCTACTCCTTATGGAGCTGCCTGTGGCCCATAGATGAAACAAACTTTGCCACTGACTTGAAACCTCTGCCCCACAGCCAGGGAAAAGGATGGATATCCATCTGAGGAGAGAAAGAGCTGTATCTAGCAGAGCCTCACCAGAGATCCACAAAGTGCTGCCTCGTAGATGCTGCTGACAGCTTTGCAAAGTCCTAATGAAGCTCGGGCTTGACCTAACACAGATCCCCAAATTAAGACTCTGCAGGAAACCTGGCTGCACTATCCTCTCCTGGAAAAGCAAGGACCTGAGATTCAGTGACAGGTATAACTTTCTAGGGCCCGTTGGCTGGACAGCACTCCACCAAGACTACAAACTCTCACCAGCTCAGTCCCTGCAGATGAACCATCAGCAGAACCTTTATACTCTTGAACTAGATTAGAGGTCATAACCAGTGTTCTTTATCTGTATTCCTTGAAAGTGACCTCTGTGGAATTTTTAGAAGAGTGAAAAATTTATATTACAAACACTCCTTTACCTCACAGAAAGCTCCCTTTAATTTCTCACAGTTTGTCCTGCCAAGAAATGTCAGGCATATCTGAGCATTGGAGGAGACCAAATGCAAGACTTGAAGTGAAAACCACCTGTAGCAGGGAATTCTGCGGGAGTCCAATCCTTTCCTTCAGCTGGATGCACATGGAGGCAACTCACCAGTATTTTTGCAGGGCTCTGTCTGTGGAGCTGGACCACAGGCACGTCTCGCTTCCTGACAAGATGAGGGATAGTAGAATTTCGCAAAAAGGCACTGAGCTCAGGGGTATCCTCTGGGGAGGCAGCAGGCTGCAAACAGAAAGGAGAAAGAATCAATCGCATTAACAGTTGTTACCTTTTTATGAGCTCTGAACTCTACAGTGAACTGGATTCACACGAGAGTTCAGATCTGGGATTCACTCACAACAGGTTCCATGGCAGAATGACCTTCCCTGACAGAAAATGAGCCTTTCCTCTCTCTGATTACCACAACTCAGGAAGCGTAGGGAGTGCATTCTTAGGAAGTTTCTATTGTAAGGATAAGAGTTTAAGCAGAAGTGATTTCCCCATGAGGGCAGCATATGTACAGCTGACTTTTCAGCCATGGCTATTCTCCCCTCATTATACATTGGGGCTAGTTAAAGTGAGGGACACTCTGCATGGGAGAGATGGATCCTGCGGTGGAAAAAAGTGGAGAAGTAGCCCAGTGTGGTCAAAGATCTGACTTCTGTGCTTCTGAGAAGTGCTCCCCAGGACAGAACTGCTTCTAATGGAAATGGATTTCCAAAGCATGGCCCTACACTTCATGCTGTCACAGAGCTTGCTTTCAGCCCAAGTTTATTTTGTAAGTGTTGTAGAACTGGTGATTTTATCTAGGGAACTATGCCGGGTACATCTGATGGCTAAAAAAACTGTCTTGAAAGTTTCAATAAGTCACACAGAATAATCCCATTCTCTATGTTGGACCAACTAAAATATAGAAACTCAATTTTCTGATCCTGTTCCATGTGCTAACCTGACAGTTATGTGTTCTTTTACATGGAGTTTGGTTTATGCCAGAGGAACAACAGCCTATGCCCATCTCTATGGAATGAAAAGTGAAATGCCTGCATGGTGTTGTAGGATTCACCACAGAAGGTGGAATGATGGTGTTCACTGTGTCATAAGAACCTGGCAAAACCCACTGGCACCCATCACTGTCTGTAAAGCTAAGCCGCAGTGGTTTGAGTTGCCCAGTGAGAAGATATAAAGTGAGAAGCAGAGAGTCATACATAAGCTTCTAGGAAGCCCTAGAATAAAAGGCAAATGAAGAAGACCCAGCAAGGGAAATACAGCTGGGCTGATTAGACAAAAGGACATCCAGGAAAGTGTGGTTTCATAGAGGCCCCAAGGAAAAACAAGTGCAAAACACGAGGGAGTGACAAAGAATGCTAAACAAATCCTGAAGAGGAAGAAAGAACAGCAAGGAACAAAAAGTGCTCGCTACTCTGTCAACATCATGGATCTCTTTTTCTCAGTAGGAGATGTGATACAGGTGGAGACTGAACTGCAGTCGCTGAAGAGTAACCAGGTTTTGACAAACGGATAACTACTTGGGAAAGTATGAAATTAAGCTCTTATATCACTCATTCTCATCGAAGTCATTCCGAGTGGCTCAGAACTAAGAACCTTGTCCAAAATGTCCTCCTCAAGATAAAGCACCAAAGAAAAATATTAATGTTCCTAGCAAGACTCAATGAGCATCTGTAGGTCAATGGTTAAATAAAAATGATGTATGTATCCCAAAGACATGATAGTTTTTAAAATGATGATACAGACAAACATTTTTAATTTACAAAGACACAAGATACTTGTAAGGGAAAAGACAGGTTACATAATAGCATATGTAATAAGATTATGGATATTGTATATCTACCGATAGAAAAGTGAGTGGTCATGAAAATGTTATCAGTCATGGAGATTTGACGATATCAAGGAAGTCTTGCTAATTTTGTTTTAGGATTGATAATGACAGTTTGAATTTTTAGAGCATTCTTATGTATTGGCAGTATATCATACAATGTTTCTAGTTGAATGGAAAAATTAAAGCAAAAATAAATACACAACATAATAAAAGGGTGGGAACACCAGGAGAGGTTGATTTTTTTCTTATGTTTTCACATAATGTCTGATATGTTCTCATGATGAACATTTAGTATCTTTTAATATGGTAATTTAAAAATTACAATTATAGGACAGTCAAAGAGGAATAAAGAAGTAGAGACAGCAGGCTCAGTGTGGCTATAAATGGAAGGGAAAAGATGCCCATTCTCGGAAGAGGATATGGAGTCAAGTGACTTGACTTAGTTTTTGTTTTGAAGATGGAAAAATCAATACCACAGACACTGGGATATCGCAGGACCATGGCTGGGCCAGGCACAGGGAGGAGGAAAAGCCAAAGAGTGGCTCACAGATGTTCAGTGATGAAGGATGTGATGGAAAAGCTTTTATAACGTAAGACAAAAAGCTGACTTTAATCAGAAAATTGAGATTTTTTTGAAAATGTCTTCTGTGCTTTCTACCAGAGTCTTTGTCTGTCTCTCTGTGCATAGTTTTGGCTTCAAGATTCATCATATACAATTTCTATCTTTTTAAATTGTTAAGCATTAGGTTTTAGAAGTTTACTCTAGCTAACCAAACTACAGGGAGGAGGTAATGGAACAAAGCAGGGACTGATTCGTTTTTTTCACGTTGTGACTTATAATTATTAGTAGTAGTATCAGTATTAGTATTAGCAGACTTCCCTGTGTGGTTTTATAAGATGAAGCTTGTGTACATATAGGGAATGCATCTTATTGTGGTATCCCATCATTCACTAATATTTAGACAGGGTCTCTCAATAAAACATAGGATTTAACTGTAGGCTAGAGAATCAGCCTGACATGAAGCAAAGGTTGATCGTATGCATTTCTTCCTTTTTTGCAACACTATTTTATACATAGAGCAGTGCCACCCTCAAGCACCACAGTCAAAAAATCTTCAACTGCTTGCAAACCAGTTTCTCTCAAGGGGCATTCCAGAAATTATTTCAAAGGACAAAACAAAACGAAAGGCAAGGAAGAAGCTATCCAAGAAATGTAAACAATAGTTAAGGTCCATTTTCTAGACAAACATTGGAGCCACTTTCACAGCTGGCCCTGACCCACAGGCCATGCTTTTTCCTTCATCTGAGAACATGGGAGGGTTAGACAGACGCTCAGTTTGGAGGATAAATATGCTCAGTGCTATGAGGAGCTGGTAGTACACGGTGCAGTAGTTTCCTCAGAGCAAATGAAATAGCCTCTTTCTGCAACAAAGAAATAACTGTTAGTAAATACGTTTCTCTCTCCAGCTGCTACTCAGAATTTGACCCTAACAAGAGCTTTCTATTTGCACAGCTTTTTGCCAAACTCTGCATGCAGGCAGAGGTTTAAATTAATGGGTTGACTGGATATGGATTAAATTTATGAGTTAAAGGCCCAGAATGTATAGGAGAGTTGGAAATGCAGCATTTGAATAAAGGGGTTCAGTGAAACCAGACTAAAGGCACTGAGAACCCAAACAAAGCAGGGCATGCTATGTTGTTTGAAATTTCTCTTTGGATTTCAGGTACTGCTAGCACAGGGAAACTGTAAACTGTTCTCATGGACTTCTTTGTCTATAATTAAACCCAAGTGGAGACCAGCCCAGGGGTTCTTCCCACCATGTAATTAAGACATAGATGTTAAGGATTTGAGGGGAGTGGAAAAATACCCACTCTATTTTTCCTTCTGAAAAGTTCATGCACAGCATGACCAGAAGAATCATCGCATCCTCTTGGTGATTCCAAAGCTTTTCTTTTCTTTGGATGTGGTGTTTTATGTTTTGGACTATGCATGGGCTGACCAGCTGAAGTCCTCACATCTGATGTCAAGGCCACATGAAACAGGTGACTTTCAATTGCACAGAAAGCAGTGCATCTTGGAACTGGTATTTTCATAACATTTATCTAAAGTTGGCAATAATTGCTTTAAAAAATATATCCGCGGGAACCTGAAGACCATCTCAAGGAGAAGAAAGGCAGAAAACAATGGGTCCCAGAGTATTCTCTTTGGTGGTTGAGAACTGTGTCTTCAGGCACTAGAAGAGCAAAGGAGATAAACTCCTGATGAAAGGGAGCACTCCTGTCTGGAAAGAATGTTTACAGGAGGCTGAAAAGGACCACTTCAAGAGCAAGTGGTAGGTGCCAAGAGAATCACAGCTGGAGGAGAAGAGAAATACAATTTGGTTGGGCTCTCCAGACCAGACCTTTTGAATGAGATGCTAGGGCTTTTTTTTTTTTTTTTTTTTTTTTTTTTTTTCCTGGAAGGAGAGCTTGTAGGAGAAGCTGCAGCACTGAAGGGACACGAAGCAGATATCTAACAATGCTTTAGCTGTGAAGTAAATTGAGGCTCCAAATGTTCAAGGCCCACAAAAGAGTACACCAAGAAAAGTCTACAAGGAAGAAAAAAAATCAGTAAGTTAACATGAAATGGTCTTTCTTTTTATGTCTTGGTTTTTAAGTTGTTCGTGTGTGCCTGTGAAAAAGAAAGGGAGGAATGGAGGGAGGGAGGGAGGGAGACAGATGGACATTCAGACATTCAGGCCGACAGACAGACAGAGAGACAGACAGGCAATGAATCAGTGAGAATTGTTTAGGGACTAAGACGTGTCTCTCCATTCTAAATTAATGAGAACCAGCAAGTAAAGGCAGTTATGAAAGAGGAAAGTACTCTTAAGGATAAAGCAAAACGATGCAAATTTGCCAAGCCACTGTCTGTGGGCCCACTTGATTCTAAAAAAGTACTTGTGTGGCTATAATCCTTGATGAATGAACTGGTTCTGCTTCTTTTCGTCATGTTCGTACTATTTGGTTGCAATTTAGACTTCCTGTGGGATGGGTCTTGTTGAAGAGACCAGACTCGGTGGCGACCTCCCGCTTCCCTGGCTTTAGCAATAATTTTTACAAACAGCACTGGCTTCTCCTCACATGATGCTCTTCCTGGTTTGGTCTAAGACCATTTTTACCTCAGAATTTTTTCTTGAGTTAAGCCCAGAATGTGGTGCTGTGATCTTAACACAGCTGACATTTGGGCATCACATTTGTCCTTCTCTCCTGGGCACAGCCTCTCATTCCAGAACCTTTTCCCTTGGAATCTTACACTTGGCTGTGTATTATGAAACCCTGCCAATTAAAAAAAAAAAACCCTTCACTTTTTATGAAACGTTTAGTTCCTTAGTACTGTCTACTTTTTCAACCTCATCTTATCTAA